CTTATTCTACCGAGCCATCACCCCAGCCCCTCATTTTCTTTAACATTGTTTTATATTAAAAATTAACAGCTTGCAACTATAGATAAGTTGGCACTTTCCTAATGTATAAAAATGAAGCCACATGGGATGCAATCTTTTCATTTTTCAGTCAGTACCCTGATTTTGAAAATCACCCATGTTGTTACAACTTATCAATTGTTCATTTCTTTTTTTTTATTGTATTCCACCGTGTGGACCACCTCCGTTTGTTTACCTGTTCATAGGTTGGTGAAAATTAGGTTGTTTCCAGTTTTGTGCTGTTATCAAAAACAAATGCTATTTGTAGTAGATAGTACGGGCATGTACTATCTTTTGTCCTTGAAAAGTAAAATGATGCCCTACAATGTATGGGTGTGTGTGTTTGTGCATTTCTTTAATTTGATTTTAGGGATTGAATTTATGGCCTCACACGGGAAAGCACATGCATTTTGGCCGTGTGCAAGTATAGATATTTATTTAAAAATATTTAAAGATAAGGTTTCCTTGTGTAGCCCAGGCTGGCCTGGGACTTGTAGAGATCCTTCTGCCTCAGTCTCTAGGGTGCCGGGATCACAGGCAAGCGCTACTACACCTTGCATTTATTTAACTTCATAGTAAAGCCTCGCAGTTCTTGAAGCTTTCCCGTGAAACTTTTGGCTCGTTAGCGCCACCTACAAGGCCCTCTGTGGCGTCGTTGTGCCCGGGCTTCAGGCTGCTCAGTCCTTGAGGGGCCCTCGGTTCCCTCCGACTCTTGTCATAAAGCCTGCAGAAGCGGGTCCCCAACTCCAGCTCCCGCGAGATCTCCTGCTCTTAGGCGTATGCAGCTGCCGCAGGGCTTTCTTATGGCGGTGTTTTGGTGGTTTACTGCGTCTAATGCAGTCACGCGACTCTGATAGCGGGCAATAGAGTCTGCCAGGTCGTCTTTGGATCTAGGAAGGAAACAAAACAAAAACAAAAAAGCCCTCAAAATAATCAAAGAATTAAAATATTTGCCTCTGGACAATGGAGAGTAGGTCGGGCATGGTGCACACCTATAATTCCAGCACTTGTGGGAAGCTGAGGCAGGAAGATTGTCATGAGTTGGAGGTCGGGCTGGGCTACATAGTGGGACCTGTTTCAAAAAAAAAACAAAAAAACAAAAAAACAAAAACCCAAACCACCCCTCCAAAAAACCAAATAGGTAGAGGAAGAAGAGGAGGAGAGTGAAGGGAGCAGAAGGAGGAGTGGAGGCGCCTGGATAGTACTTAATTCCATTGAGTCAACAGGTAACTAACTTATATGCATTTATAATGGATGGCGAAAAGGGAATGGGAGAAGGAAAACAGCCATTGAGGAACAAAGAAAACACTTCAGAGGCATCTGCTGTTAACAGTTTGTCTGCCCCCCCCCTTTTCTTTTCTTTTAGACACCGGGTCTTGCTGTGCGGGTCAGGCTGACCTTGAACTCACTTTGTAGCCCAGGCTGGTCTCAACGTCACAGAGATCCTCCTGCCTCAGCCTTCCCAGTGCTGGGATCACAGGCATGCGGCTTCTACTATCTTTTTTCCCCTCTCTGGTTTCCCTGTCTTCTCTGCTTCCTCCTCTCCCTGCTCCCCTCTTCCTCCCTTCCTGGCCACATTGCTGCGATCATACTGCATAGAAAGCAGACAGTGAACTCACTGAGCTCTTAACTGTACGGCAACCCTTGGACCACGAACACTGTCATTTTTTCAACCTAACCACCAGTGTTTGGATTTTACTCATAATTACTTTCTTATTTTAGCATATGGTCATATATATTTACATATATATATATGTAAATATATATATGTATATTCCACCCAGGGCACTATCCATCTGTTCCTCAATGTATTAGGTTTTTTTTTTAATAAATATTTATTTATTTTTATTTATTACATTTATTTATTGTGTGTGTGTGTGTGGCCAGCTCAGCCCACCAGGGGGCGGGGCTGGCTGGCATGTGGTGCTGGAGGATTGAACCACAGTCCTTGTGCTTTGCCAAGCTTGTTTCAAGTAGGTGCTTTAGACCACTGAGCCATCTCTCCAGCCCCTGTATTAGGTTTTTAACTTGTTTTCTAACTTTTGCTATCATAAAGAATATTTGAATGTTCTACTTTTCTTCTGAAGAATGTTGTGTTTTCAGGATACATTTCCAGAAGTCCAGTGAAGGGGTCGATGCCTGTAAGCATACTACCTATTTTAAACTCCCTGGTGCACCTTCGCACCGGTCTTGGGCCAAGATGCCTGCTTGATGGCCTGGGAGACTCACTCCACACATGAGTTGGTGGGTGGCTCCGTTCCCATGGCCATAGCCAGGAATTCAGTGCTGGTTTCCTGAGCCTCTGGCTTTCCTTCCCACGTGGCCCTAAGGTGACATGAAGCCGGGGCAGTGCCAACCCTGCCGCTGGCGCCCATAGCCTCTCCGTCTGGGCCGCTCGCTGCCATGCAGGGCGCCCTGTGTTGGAGGGAAGGGGCGCTGGGAAGCCTTCCAGGAGGGTAGGGGTTCAGGGAGAGGTGCAAGGGCTGCAAAGTGCTGAGCCAGAGCACAGCAGGAGCCCAGAAGGGCCAGCGTGGGCGGAGAAGGGCGCGTGGGCTGCGGACGCGAAAGGCTCTGACTTGGACATGGGATCTTCGGACGTCTGAAGTATTGACTCCTCTTCATCTTAATTCACTTTCTTGGGCCAAAAACGGAATAATTTGTCTTTGTTTTCTCTTTTGTCTTTTTCTAATAAATGATCAAAAAGCAACTTCAAACGAATGTTTTTCTACTGCAGAAGAAAGCGAGTCCTGCACCGCCCAACCCAAACCATGTTCGGGGGGCAGAGAACCTGCTTTCTGCAGCAACGTGCAGAGGGGGAACCTCCCCCCAGCAGAGAAGCCCAAGGCCTCGGTGATGCCCACGGCGAATGGGGTCCGATCCCGCGGTTCCCAGCCCCCAGCGGAGGACGGAGCACCCACAAAGGACGCTGGAGAGCTGTCAGGACCCACAGGGGAGACGGGGCTTCCAGAAGGCCCCGAGGAACGTCCTCCAGGCGGCAAAGGCGACGATGCTCCAGGAAGAGAGGCAACTGTGAAAGACGTGGAACCGGCGCTGGAGGTTCGGTCCTCAAAGGAAAAGGAGCCTGCTGGCACAGCAGGAGCGAGGGACGGCCCAGGAGCAGGCGAAGGTGCTGAGAATCCACAAGCACAAGCTATGGGACTGAGGACACCCGCAGCGACAGCGGGAAGCAGCCCACCTCTGGAAACAGCTGGAGAACCGCACTCTCGAGAGGCAGCAGCAGAAGACGCACAGCCCGGGCCTCCAGGGTCCACCCCGCGGGAGAACAGAGCTCCAGGAGCGCCCGCAGGAAGCCAGGGGGTGCAGGCCGCGGGAGCGCAGCGACTTCCGGAAGCCGCGGGGAGAGAAGCGCAGGTGCAGGCCCGCCTCGCAGAAGCAATGCCCGAAGGAAACGAAGAGCTGGCGCTGCCGGAAGAAAGTCTGTTTGCGGCAACTGCTGAAGAGCCGCAGCTGCAACGCACATCAGGCGAGGCCGCGCAGCCTCAGCCTCTACAGATAATCCCCAAAGAGGACGCAGCGCCAGATGTGCAGGACAGAAGTCTGCCTGCCCTAACCCCAGCGATGACTGATCCAGTCCGCACAGCTTCCCAAGATCCCGGAATCCCGAAGCAGGGTCAGCCTGAAGGAACAGCCGGAGGCGTGGAGCGCCCGGCGGAAATCACAGCGACGGCGGTGAGCGCGGAAGTAGCCGGGGAAGGTCCCAGCGCCGAAGGGGAGCACCGCGCCGAAGGGGAGCACCGCGCCGAAGGGGAGCACCGCGCCGAAGGGGAGCACCGCGCCGAAGGTAAGCCTTAGGCTGCCGGGCGTGCAGCCTGTCTAGGTGCTCCAGGGAGACCTGACGCAGCCAGTGACGGCCCTTCCCCGGGGCTTAGGCCCATTTGACCCAAACCCCAAAGGCTTCCATGCCTGAGGCGTGGGCATCCCATCAATACTCGGCTCAGCTTTCCAGAATGTGTTCCCTACAGCTTTTCTAAAAATCTGTGTCTAGACTTTTGACCTAGAGTTTGATGGTCGAGTAGACTTGAACACTGAAGGAACGATTAAAATTTCTGAGTTTTAGGGCCTACAGGATAACTCAGTGGATTAAGCGCCTGCTTAGACAAGCGCAGGGATGGGGGTTCGATCCCTGGCACCACAGGCCGCACCAGCCCCGCCTGGGGCGCTGAGCCGGCCACTGAGACTCAGCATGGTGCTGCACCCCGGTAATCCCAGCACTTG